ATCATGTTATCTGTTTATAATCTGTTTAATTCATATAAAGATAAAATTGACAATATTTGACCAATAGTATTATCACTGTGTCATTTGGAACATCAGATTCTTTTAAATTAGAGTTTTTACGTGGAGATATTTCAACAAAGGGTGGTGTTCTATCTGGTTTGTTTATTAAGACAGATAGTATTAAAAATCTTATGATTTGATAATAATACTATTAGTGATTGGAAAATAATACACTAATATTATTAGTGTAATGTCATAACTTTATACTGGTGGTAGGACCTATTGTGAGTATGCACGGGTAGGTACCACCGTCCTGCCTATTTCTGCCGTGAAGCAGTAATGCGTTTCGGTTTGGAGGGGGGGTTAGCCGTTGTGACAATACTGAGACCTTAGAACTATATCTCAAGCTGTGTGGCGCATTTACGTTATAGATGTCGATGGGCTCCAGTAACCACTTAACACCAGGTGGGCTGTGAGCTCGTCCACCAATCTAGCAATAAAAAAAAATGCATTGAAAACTAGATGAAATTCAATTCACAGAATCTTTCTTGTTTTCATAAATGAATGAAACCGTAATTTGTCTGTAAGAGCTCATGAACTCTTAGTTTTAAGTTGATACTAGAGCCCATATATATCACCATGTTAATACATGTGACGTTACCACCTTATGACAAAGTCTAAATAATTTAATACATTGGTTGAAAAACAGTTCAACAAAAATGATGCTTAGTTTAGTAAATATACACTGTGTTTCATTTACATTAAGAGAGATACTTTACAACAATGTTAATGTTTGGGAATGGCCTCTTCATACTATTTGTATCTAAAAAAATTATTGCATTTCCTACAATGTCATTTTCTCAATGATTAAGTTTCTCAAGATCCTAATTTAAAATCCAAAACAGACAAATGAGTCGTCTATTATCAAAGCCGGCAATCTGACTTTTGGACAATGATTGGTAAATCAGAAAAACGAATTATTGACTTTGTATTCCATTGGCAGTCACAAAACTCTTCGGAACGACATCTTAGATAAATAACAGGTTAACTATTAACCTTCATTTAATGCAGGTTTTGAACCGTATTCTTTGAAGGAGACGATTATATTCAAATCAATCTGTATTGACATATCAATAAAAAAAATTTGTCCAAATGCACAGATTGCCACCTTTGATAATAGACGACTCAAATAAGCAACTGAGCACCATACAACATACAAGTAGTTATGATGTGTATTTTTGAGATAGTAATAAATAAATTTGTGAAATGTTCATCCATAATTAAAAACTAACCATTCTATAGTTTTTCGAGTTATTAAGCTAAACAAATCCGATCTTATTATTAATTGTAATATTTAAATTTAAAATGTAATTATTCAACCAGTAAATTAGTAATTAATATTCATGACAGCATTATTAAATAAATGTTCAAACTATTTAAAGAATTATTATATTGCCGCCTAAATCGAGTGATTAGTAACAAAATACTTTACCAAAGAAATTACGATCCCGGTATCTGGATTCGAATTAAAAGTGTGTTCCATCCATAATAAGAAATACCGAGGTAAATTGAAAATTTGTTAAAATTATAATGAAGTTCCAACCTAAAGTTTAATTTCCGACAATTATTATTAACTACTATTAATTCTTTCTATTCTAACTACTGTTAATATTATGAATAAATTAAACTAAGTACGTATCAAATGGTACTTAATTGTTTTTTAATAAAATGTTTTTGGCAAAACTTACCGGATTTAAGACATTTCTCAAACGCCTCCTTTGCGGTCGAATATTCAGGCTTCCTGTCCAGGGGCTGCGACAACGATTGTGTATACGTAAAGTAACTTCTATCCGATTTAACACTAAGGAAAGCAGAACTTAACTTCCCGAAATGAAGACTCGAGACTTGAGGAACAATTTTCGTAATCACAGACATCCTGTTATTTAAATTTAGTTTCACACAAAGCAAAGGGATGTCGTTATTACTATTTTATTCGTTGTTAAGCTAAGGACCCGCGCTCCGACGCCCAATAGCCAATAAATGTAGTTAGGTACCGGACTTAGGTAGGTAGGTGTAACGAATACTGTCGAATACTGACTGGTGGATTTGCATCTAAATAAATGTCAACGTCAACGGGTCCACGCCACAGATTATTTAAGCCACAGAACACTATTACTTCTAGCGAAGATTTAAGCTTACAACAAAACTAGACACTTAATAATTTGCAATGGCTGCCAATGCTGTTCTGTCATTCTGAAAGAGATTGCGTGACAAAAGACTCTTTACATGTAAATTCAGGTTCAGAAATGTAAAAACCCGGTAGGGTCATTAGAAGATATATCTTTCGCGTTCTCGGATGCGCAGAACCTAATTTATCTATCTACAATAAAGTCAAGTGGAACTGCTTTCTAACATCAACCGTTACCTAAAACCGTTAGAAAATACAAAAAAATAACGATTAAAGATAAAAAAATAACGATGAAAAATTCATGAAAAGATTAAAATATCGATTTTTTTATCGCACAAAAAAAAATTTTTTTTTTTTTTAATAGCGCAATCATCTCACTTTATTAATTAGACACTAATTGACATGCATTACTCCTGATAATTAATTAATCAATCAATAAATCGAAGCATTAATTAAGTAAAAATATAGATATATATCGCCGAGTGTGTTTTTTTTAAATGCCTACACATTTTAAAGCCTTTGGTTCGTACGTACAATGAGTACTTGGAAGAAATTGATTGTATATTGAACTTATAGTTAAAGTTAAAATAGTTTTCTATCCGAACATTGTCTACATAACTACCATAGATTGGTCACAAAAAAAACAAGCCAGGAACAAGCTAGGGTTGCCTAATTTAACTGATCTTTCTCATAAAAGTCGTAATCTATCACCAAAATTGTCCTGAAACCGAAATAAACACTGACTTTAAGAATTAAACTATTGTCATCATTTATCATGAAATAAACATTTAAATGGTGATAAAATAAGTCCAGAAGATGAAATAGCACACACAATAAAAAAAATCAAAATTGTTAATACAAACGATAGGCAGCGGCTTGGCTCTGCCCCTGGCATTGCTGAAGTCCATGGGCGACGGTAACCACTCACCATCAGGTGGACCATGTGCTCGTCTGCCTACAAGGGCAATACAAAAAAAAAACCTCAGGATATTTTTTTTAATGCTACAATTTTTACACGCTTTATATTAGCTTCACTTGTATGTATGTTTGTAACTGACTCCTTTAGTCGCGATTTTGACCCACTTTTTATGGCCAGATTTCATTCAAACTTTGTAGATTTATCGAGGACCGATGACAATACACTAATTTGATAAGATTATTCCATTATTCAATTTGCAAAATAAGATTTTTGCCTATTTGTATAATTTTTTATCTATAGTCGATAAGGCAGGAATTGATGTTAAAGTACTAGTTTTAAAAATACTCTTTTATAGAAAATTTAAGTAAAAAATGAAAAAAAAAATAGTTTAAAAAAAACTATAAAACACGTTTTATAAAATTCAACTAAAAAATAGAAAATAAATTTTAATAAATTGAAATTGAAAATAGTGTAAAAAAATATGTATTTTATTTAAAAAAAAGCGTGAGGTGCTTTTTACGATATTATTGAAATAATACTTCTTCTACTCATATCTGTCAGAAAAATATTTATAACTAATAACACCATGCACTCCACGCTTTTTTACAATAAAAAAATATTTTTTTACACTGATTTCAATTTAAATTTATCAAAATTTATTTTCTATTTTTTAGTTGAATTTTATATAAAGCGTGTTTTTAGTTTTTTTAAACTATTATTCATTTATTACACTACAGTGAGTGAAAATCCGTAATTAGATTCAGTAGGTTGATTTTCTCATCTTTTGACTGGTGGCTTGTTATGGACTATTACGTTAAAGTGGTAAACTAAACAACTTCTAGACTAACAAAGCAATTAAATAAAAATTTCATGTGTAACACTGTACTGCAAGCCTAGCCTGAGAATGGAATTTGCGTACACTTGCATTAAGAATTACTTAATGCAATACTTTCTACACTATACAAGAAATCAAGTAATGATGTTTATTTGTGGTAAAGCGTCCTGTGAGCCCACACAGGAAGGTACTACCATTCTACCTATTTCTGGTGTGAAATAGTAATGCGCTTCACTCATGTCTTAGAGCGGGTCTCTTGGTATTTACGTTGTTGGTATCAATGATTACAGTAGCACTTAGCGCCAGGTGAGCTGTGAGCCTGTCCATTCACCTGATCACAAAAAAAAACTCAATATTTCATCCATTTTGCTACTTAACACATTCGCCTGAGCAACCTTATTTCTGAATATTGCTATAAAATTATTTATATTGCTATAAAATATTAATATAAAAAACTAAACAACGTCTAAAAACGTCCCGCCACAATACGTACATCTTGATTTTTTTTATCATGATGATTTGATGATTTTTTTTAAGGAACGCGGTGGTATAAGCTATGAAAATCGAATGTGTTGTGGCGCTAAGTAAATGCGCCATAGGAATTTGCCCATAAAATAGACGTCCAAAGAAGTTCCGACAATATAAATATGATAATCTAGACGTCGTCATATGACGTTGTGCCATTTCATAATTTTATAAACACGACGCCGTAAGACGTTGCTCACGCGAACGTGTTAACCTGAAAAAAGCGATCCACCACATCTAATTTTATTAACACTAAAAGCTATGTGGCAATTTTATTGTTTTCACAGAAAAGCTATTTGCGCGCAGCTCATTTTTGTGTGTTGTAGAGACAAGATTACGTTTGCCGATGTCGTAAAACAGTTTAAAATTAGAAATCTCAGTTTAGTTTTTTTGAGGCTGGCTGCTTGTATTTTTGAGTAAGCCAAATTTTAGAAACAATCGTCGACTTGAAATTCTTGGGAAATTTATATCAAGAATTTGACAACATTTGCCTTGTGATGGGTCACGTGACAGCACGTGAAGTGGCATAGACAACGCATCCATTCGTCAGTTTTCGGGCGAACAGGCAGGCGCAGTTTGGTGTTTTATTGAGCAGACTGCCTATAAGTGAAAACTGAAAAATGGCAAAGGTGATCTCTCACGCCCAGGCGACCAAGGAACATGTCCTGGCAGTCTCCAGGGACTTCATTTCCCAGCCCAGGCTCAGTAAGTTAATTATTTATTGCTCTAGATACGTCATTTAGGTTTGGGGCCTGTCAAAAGGTATTGATTTTTCATCTAATTTTCAACCTCTTCTTCTTACTGATAGCACTTTCTGACATTTTTCTATGTTCTTATCGGGTAAAATAGCTTTATATTTCTTAATTTTTAACCTTGGGCATCATAAAATGTTTGACTTGAAAGATTTACCGAGAAGAATACAAAAAGTATATGTATGCGCATAACACACTACCAGATAATTACTTTAATAAAACATTAATTATTTTTCCTAATAACCGAGATTTAGGTTTAGGAGACAGAAGAAGTGATGTACTTGTGATCAGTCACATGAATTTGGTTAGTCTAGCTTATAAAAAAAGTAAATGATTACATAGTAGGTATTACTTTTATTTTCATATTTCGAAGATTACGGTTCTGAAAATATGAAAAATCTTTGAAGAAACTTCTCATTTAGATTATGCTATTCCATATTCAATTTATCTCAATTCACCTCTCATTGTCTGTCAAGTAAGACTGAAACTATTAGGTAAGCCTTCTTTCTCCAAATAGGAGAAAATTACTTAATCAAAGATAATCTTAAGATAATATAAGAATAATACTTCGAATTTTTAATATCTTGTTTCAACAATTAAATAATGGAGAACTCTATAAAATGTTCTTTAGTGCTTAACTATATTATGCTGAAAATTGAGTGCACATGAAAACAGTTTGTGCATTACTGATACTAAAAACTGAGTTAAATACTAATATTGACTAAACTATTATTTAATGTAAAAATATTGCACTGACTTATTTAATACAATAAATAATATATAGTAAAATATCAATGGAAAATGTAAGTGACAAAATTCTGTGATTCTTTTTCTATAAGAGAATTTAGTGATGTCTCATTTGGGTTGTATTAAAATAAATATAAGTTACATATAAGTATTCTCAAATAATTGATCTGCTTGTGATGAAACTGAGATACCTCAACATTAAGAGTAATGAGGTTGATGTCTATATATGTTTCAAATTATAATTGGTCGAATTTATCTGAAAGTTTTCAGTCTAACAGAAATGATGACTCTAATAAAAGACCAGAAACAAATGATGAATCTCTATAAAAATTACATCTGGCCTTTCCCTGTTGATAATGTTCCCTACAGTTAAAGTTTCTGACATACTACTAAAATCATGTATGTTATATGAGATGAATTCTGTGGAACAAATTGGTATGTGTTTATGTTGTAGTGGAATAGTTCATAGTGTATTCAAAATGTTCTGGTCGGCTATCTGGAAAATTCCGTTGAAAACAAAATCAGTCCTTTATTAACATTGATATACCATATCTCTAAAATTAATATACACCTTGTAATTGCCATGTAAGTGTTTTAGTTGGCTGGCAATTTTGCTATCTCTTTAATCTCTAATAATGGAACTTTTCAAATAAACAATTGTATCAAGTTCACTGTTATATAAATTGTTTTGAAAATCTAGTTTTTTTAATTTTTAATCACCTGTAAAGTTAGATAAGTGTTTTTAAATATTATTTTGACTATAAAAAATAATAATTAATTTAGATATGTAAGCTAGACAGAATTCTGTACAAGATGAATTTCAAAATTACAGGCAGAGCAAGTTTAGGAATTTTACAATAGTGTAAAGAATTAATTTACAATGTATTCACAAGACAAACAATAAGTTATCTAAATAATTTGTGGTACTTAAAGTAGTTGATGAATTTGAAATTGAATTTGATACATAATTTTAGAGAAAAATAATATAATTTGTCTTCTAACTCTACAGCTTACAAGACTGTGTCTGGTGTAAACGGTCCTCTCGTCATCTTGGATGAAGTCAAGTTCCCCAAGTTCTCTGAGATCGTACAGCTAAAGCTTGCAGATGGAACCCTTCGTTCTGGTCAGGTAATTGATACATCCTTGATCACAACTTAACGTATTTTAATAATGTTAATTATAATGTTGTAAAGCACACATTTACAGCTTTTAATGCTCTAAATGTTTTTTATGATTTTGAGCACAAACAACCTAAAAAAAACAGTCATTGTACTAATGTAACAATGTAGGTCAATTATGGTGCATATGTGTATTAAATCTTATTTATAACTTTAAATTATCGAGCATCATTGTATAGTAAAATGATGTAATAATTTTTTGCAGAACTTATTATGAAAGCCCGCATGAATTGGTTCCAAAGTTTAGCCTATTTATGCTACAAAGCAATGATGTGCTTTTTAAGTTTGAAGAGCTAACCTGTTTGTCACTTCGTATATACTTCAACATTATATCCCTAGATGAGTAGTGGCTCTTAATGCCTGATGTATCTTAAGAATTCTGTTGAATGGATTTATTAAAGTTGCGAAAATTACATGCGTAGTACAATTAGCCTATATTACTACCAGTACTAAAGGCCAGACGCGTTGGAGTTTAGTTGTGACCTAAATAAAATATTATCTTCAATTTTAACTGTTAAGGTACTCGAGGTCAGCGGCTCCAAAGCCGTCGTCCAAGTGTTCGAAGGGACATCAGGTATTGACGCGAAGAACACACTCTGCGAGTTCACGGGTGACATTCTTCGTACACCGGTCTCTGAAGACATGTTGGGTATGTATAAATAATACAGTTTGATCATTGTTTGGACTCTAGCAGATACAAATTAATCACACATTTATGTGTTTTTATTGGTTATATAAGTAAATAACCTCACAGGTATAAGTGGTTAATTGGAGCCAACATCAGAAAGAATGTTGCTATCCTACTTGAGACATGAAGTCGACGCTTAATTGTTTTGTGTTTCTTTGCCTAACAAATGGGGCTATTCTGGTTTCACAAAGTGTGCAGATGAGCTTATGGGACTCATCTGTTGGAGTCATATGGAGAGAATTAGCAAACGTCTCCCATGAAGCAATCTTTTGCTGAATCTACCATCAGATCAGAATTGCGACCCACTGAGAAGATTCAGCGAGAGACTCAGTGGCTTGTTGTATTATTTAACATTAGTCACTAAGGACTGCCGAAGATAGAGATAAGTGAAGAAGAGTTACACAACGGGTGAGAGTGTAGTCATTAAACTAGATACAACCTTGAGAAATGAAGATGCCAACTCAGAAGAAGTCAGCTTTAAGACAGGCATGGTCCAATAGATACCACAGACCATTAATCACTAGACCACTGAAGTAATGAATTATCAGTTGGGTTTTTTTTTCCATTAACTTAAATGAAATTGTACACAGGTCGCGTGTTCAACGGTTCCGGCAAACCCATCGACAAGGGTCCCCCAATCTTGGCCGAGGACTTCTTGGACATCCAGGGTCAGCCCATCAACCCATGGTCACGTATCTACCCAGAGGAGATGATCCAAACTGGTATGTTCCCTTTGATTTACAGAATAGTAAGAATAAGGATTGATGTACAGATAAACTGAAATCTTACTATTACTGTTATTTTGATATACAATATGTGTAACACGCCTCGGGAAAACTTGTTAAAATAGGTGAAGATCATGAGCCGTGCTTGCATAGTGTTGTTTGGTTGAAATTGATGATTACTGCATAAGTTAGTCGCACACCGTCACCGGCTCGTATCACTCTTGTGCTATATACGTAGAAATCTGTTTTCTTTAATTGTATGTTATTAAATCTAAAAAAAGACAACTACTCTATGGCAAACCAGAGGGCCGCAGAAGTCTTGGCAGACCCAAATTCCGATGGTTAGATGGCATAGGACACCTCAAAGTTATCGGTGTCAGGAATTGGAAGGAGAAAGCCTTGAACAGAGCAGTCTGAAGAGATGTTTCTCCTGGACTTGGACCAGGCTAAGGCCCCTACTCTGGGCTGTAAGGCCTAAGACGATGAAACCTAATAAAAGTCTTGAATACATGTTCGACTGTGTTTCCATTCACGCCCCAATAGAACTTTTATATGGTTTTCCCTAAACTTCAGGTATCTCCGCTATTGATGTGATGAACTCTATTGCCCGTGGTCAGAAGATCCCCATCTTCTCGGCCGCCGGTTTGCCTCACAATGAAATCGCCGCCCAGATCTGTAGACAGGCCGGTCTTGTCAAGGTAAAAATAAACCTAACCTGTCTGTATTAAGGTTTATGATTGAACACATTTATCAAATAAATTTGATACTGTATTTTAATATGTAATTAAAAGCCCTATATGGCACTTTCATTTGAATATTGTGCTAATCACTATCTAATTTTCTCTAAACATGTTTCTCTACAGATCTTGAACTCACTGTGTCTGATATTACATTTTTTTAAGTTTTTTTATTTATTGCTTAAATGGATGGATGAGCTCACAGCCCACCTGGTGTTAAGTGATTACTGGAGCCCATAGACATCTACAACGTAAATGCGCTACTCACCTTGAGATATAAGTTCTTAGGTCTCAAGTATAGTTCAACGGCTGCCCCGCCCTTCAAACCGAAACGCATTACTACTTCACGGCAGAAATAGCAGGGTGGGGTACCTGCCCGTGCGGACTCACACGAGGTCCTACCGCCAATACCTGCCTATACATTGAATAACACTTTTTTTTATATTGTCAGGTCCCCGGCAAGTCAGTCTTGGACGACCACGAGGACAACTTCGCCATTGTGTTCGCCGCTATGGGTGTCAACATGGAAACGGCCAGATTCTTCAAGCAGGACTTTGAAGAGAACGGTTCCATGGAGAACGTGTGTCTCTTCTTGAACTTGGCCAACGATCCTACCATCGAGAGAATTATTACACCTCGTCTCGCCCTGACCGCCGCCGAGTTCTTGGCTTACCAGTGTGAGGTGAGTGTGTGTGAGAGAGAGAGACAATACACTCTATTGCACTCCAAAACACAATTTACATTCAAAAACAGTCAAAAAGGCGGTCTTATCGCTAAAAGCGATCTCTTCCACACCCCCTTTTAATTTATAGAAATTCTGGAAAATATTAAAATATAGCGGGTATGTTGCGTTCATCCAAATGTTAATTCAATTTTATTTTTTATTTGTTTTATCTATGTTTCAAAAATTTTATGCGGTTCAATTTGCCTAAGTAAGTGGTTAGAAATGATTTCAAATGATAAAAAATTATATTTAAGTATATACAGTCAAACCTGGATAAGCGAGAGTTCAAGGGAGCACAATCTCATTCTCGCTTATAGAGGTTTCTCACTAACCCGAGTTTCTCACAAATGCTCCCTCTGAATTCAAACGCATTCACTATTTTAAGTTTATTAACTTTAATTTTCCGTTTATACATAATGCAGAACAGAACTTTCCTTCGCAATTGATTAACGATAAACTGAGTAAGTCCGACAAACAGGACGGTACACAGGCACACGTGTCCATTCGAAAAGAATCCGATAAATTATCAACGTTATTTAGTTTCACGAAATAGAATAGGTTCAATATTGACGAGAAAACAATACAAAAACAATGGAAGGAAGTTCCACAAAAGTTAAGAATGAGTCCTACAATAGCAGATGTTAAATTTGTAATTTGTTTTGTTATTTGTTCCTCCTAAATAATATAAATAAATAAAGCTCGACTGTCGCTTATAGAGGTATAGATAAGTAGCAGTCTCACTTACGGAGGTCCATGAGGGAAAAACGACTCTCTAACAGAGGTTTCTGTTTCTCGCTAATAGAGGTTTTGGGAGCTTAAAATGACGGGTCCTGGCTATTACTCTCACTTATTGAGTTTTCTCACTTATTCAGTTCTCACTTACCCAGGTTTGCCTGTATATATTTATTTATACGAGAATTGCTCGTTTAAAGATATAAGATATGCAAATATATTAGTTATGTGAACAAATTGTGTACAGAAACACGTGTTGGTCATTCTGACCGACATGTCTTCGTATGCTGAGGCTCTGCGTGAGGTGTCAGCCGCCCGCGAGGAAGTACCCGGACGACGTGGTTTCCCAGGTAAACTGATTCTGTCATTAACCAGTCAATACCATTAACCATGTAAAGTCTGTTATTGACCAATAATTTGGATATTTTTTTTTTGCGTAGATGTGTGGATGAGCTCACAGCTCACCTGGTGTTAATGGTTACTGGAGCCCATAGACATCTACAGCGTAAATGCCGCCACCCACCTTGAGATATGAGTTCTAAGGTCTCAGTATAGGTACAATGGCTGCCCTATCCTTCAAACCGAAACGCATTTCTGCCTTGTGGTGGTGGATGGTGACCCTGATTTGTCTTAAAGTATCGCAGTTTAAGGGCCCTGCGTTCGATTTCCGACTACTCTAGTTGACGATGACAATGACGTGGCTATTGACAGGTTACATGTACACCGATTTGGCGACCATCTACGAGCGCGCCGGACGTGTGGAGGGCAGGAACGGATCCATCACCCAGATCCCGATCTTGACTATGCCCAACGATGACATCACCCATCCCATTCCCGATTTGACCGGTTATATTACCGAAGGACAGGTCAGTTGCCGGACACTTTTGTACTGAACACATGCACTGCGGTGTTTTTATTTTTTATTTATTGCTTAGATGTGTGGACGATCTCACAGCCCATCTGGTGTCAAGTGGTCACTGGAGCCCATAGACATCTACAACGTAAATGCACCACCCACCTTGAGATATAAGTTCCAAAATCTCAGTACAGTTAAAACGGCTGCCCCGCCCTTCAAACCGAAACGCATTACTGCTTCACGGCGGAAATAAGCAGTGTGGTGCTTATTTCCGCTTATTTCCGTACCCACGCGCGCGGATTCATAAGAGGTCCGACCACCAGTAATTACGCAAATTATAATTTAGCGGGTTTGATTTTTATTACACGATGTTATTCCTTCACCGTGGAAGTCAATCGTGAACGTTTTGTTTTGAACGAATTGTTAAGTACGTATTTCATTAGAAAAATTGGTACCCGCCTGCGGGATTCGACCACCGGTGCATCGCTCAACACGAATGCACCGGACGTCTTATCCGTTAGGCCACGACGACTTAGTGACAAGCGAGTGAGAGATTTAATAAATAAAAACTGTTAGCTCGTATATAATAATTGTAATTTGTTTTCTGAACAGATCTACGTGGACAGACAGCTTCACAACCGTCAGATCTATCCCCCTGTGAACGTGCTACCTTCCCTCTCCCGTCTCATGAAGTCCGCCATTGGCGAGGGCATGACGAGGAAGGATCACTCTGACGTTTCCAACCAGCTGGTATGTTTTTTGCTTAATATTTGTGTTTTAGACCCACCCGAAGAGACTTATATTAATTTCACTTTAATGTCAAAATTAAACAAAGTTAAGAAGAAAAAAAAAGGTCGCGTGAATGAAGTGAAACTTCTTATTCGATGTGTAGTATTGTGGTTTTCTTTGTCATCGGTCCCTAATATGTATACCAAATTTCGAGTTAATCCGACGTTTTGAAGGGGCTCAAAATCATGTTCAAAGATTCCGTTACATACGTCTGAAGCTAATAAAAGCGTATTAAAAAGGCTATCTTTTAAGTGAATGATGTGAATGAGGAATTAACAATGTGCTTTTGTTATCAGTACGCGTGCTACGCTATCGGCAAGGACGTGCAAGCCATGAAGGCCGTGGTAGGTGAGGAGGCTCTGACGCCCGACGATCTGCTATACCTCGAGTTCCTGACCAAATTCGAGAAGAACTTCATCACGCAGGTACGGACATTTATTGTACTACTAGCTGACAAGGCAGACTTCGTAGTGCCTCAATCGATAAATAAAAGACCTAAACTTTTGTATAAAATGAACTTAAAGCAAACAAAGGGAATCCCTGTCCGACGGAGGACACATCAAAGGGAAAACGAAATTGTTATTTTTATTCAATTCCGAGCATTTTCATATTTATCTACCTTTTAAACCTTCTCTGGACTTCCACAAATAATTCAAGACCAAAATTAGCCAAATCGGTGCAGCCGCTCTCGAGTTTTAGCGAGACTAACGAACAGCAATTCATTTTTATATATATAGATAATCACGATCATGCTATACTGGTTTTTTACTGGTGGTAGGACGTCTTATGAGTCCGCACGGATAAGTACCACCGCCCTGTCTATTTCTGCCGTGAAGCAGTAATGCGTTTCGGTTTGAAGGGTGAGGCAGCCGTTGTATTGTTAAAAGTGAAACCTTAGAACTCATATCTCAAGGTGGGTAACCACTTAACAATCAGGTGGGCTGTAAGCTCGTCCACCCATCAAAGGAAAAAAATGTGTTGATTGTGCATACAATGTAACTACCAATAACAAAATACAGATCCAATAATTTCAAGGATCCACATCCTCAGCATGGCAGATACTTGAACAGTCATTGTTGTTACCAAAAATGACATATTATTCAATTCAGGGTAACTACGAGAACCGCACAGTCTTCGAGTCCCTGGACATCGGCTGGCAGTTGCTGCGTATCTTCCCCAAGGAGATGCTGAAACGTATCCCGGCTTCCACCCTGGCCGAATTCTACCCGAGAGACTCCCGCCATTAAGCCTGCAACCTTGGAGTGCTCGTGAATGTGTTCTGAACTGCCCTCGACATTAACAATAAGATATTATATGATGTGTTATAAATTTGGTGTTCCCGTACCAATGTCACAGTGCTATAGACTGAATGTAATTTTGAATTTGATTACTTTGATTACTACAATTAATTTGATTACTAATTGTCTTTAAGAGACCTAAATAATTACGGTCAACAGATACCTTTGCCAAACATTATATAAAGGTATAATATTGTAATTTTGAATTTGATTACTTTGATTACTTTGATTACTACTATTAATTTGATTACTTATTGTCTTTAAGAGACCTAAATAAGTACGGTCGACAGATACCTTTGCCAAACATTCTAAAGGTATAATAATATTTTGAACAAATCCAGTTTGTCGTTGGCATATTCAGAACATTAAAACGATAAATTGTAAGATATATTGTTTAATAGTAAGTTGTTAATAGTTAATGTTTATAACATGTATTGCGATCACGTTACAAGAAAAAAAAATATTTAAAATATTATATGTATTACTTAAAATAATATTTCAAACCATAAAACGGAATATATAGTAGCGTTTCTTCTGTATATAAATAAAACTATAGATTAAAAAATTATTCAAACTTTTTTTTTTTGTTGATAGAGACGCAATTAAATATTTTTGGTGCTTCATTGTTGTATTTGCGGTACATATATTGGATGTGTTCTTTCTTATAAATGGTAATATTTTAAAAAAAAAACTATATGATATTAATGTGATATCGCTTATCCGAGTAACAATGTGAAGTGTAATAATTTTTGTGTAAATAAATTTTTGAAAGCCGATAAATAAATAGCCCGGTGTTAGATACGTATGTTACATTCCATGTTCGCGTCCGCCCCCGTTGTTTGCTAATGGCGCTCAAAATGCATGGATGATGTCTTCAATGGAAATAAAAACTAATAGAAAGTTGATGGTGTTTTATTTTTTATCGCCCTATATATAAAATACTAGTCGTACTCGCCCGCTTCAAACCCTTTTCCATTTGAATACAAGATGGGCCATTTTGATAAAGCGGCACGACACGAGAACCCTCTCATCGTGGCCCCCGGTGACTACATTGCCGATCCTGCGGACAGAATGGTAAACAGTCGATGTCGCCCTAAACACGACGGTTCTCTCGGATCCTCGGATCCTCCCGATCCACTAACGGTGCTTTTAAGTACCGGTCATCGTTCTCGTCCCACCCGTCGCTTGCGACGAAGGGCTCGGCGAGTAAATTAACCCACAGACACAGTCCAGTGCCCACTGAGTTTCTCGCCGGATCTCTCAGTGGGTCGTTTGATCCGGTGGTAGATTCTGCGAAGCACTGTTATTGCTAGGGTTCGTATTAGCAACAACGTCAGGTTTGAGCCCCGTGAGCTCACCTACTAGCCCGGTGATGCTGACATGGTCTCTCTCTCATTTTAGGTAGGAAAAAAAATACACGATGGTTCGCGTGCGGTGAAGCTAGCATAATCCCTTGAGGTAACAGCAATAGGTAGGCAAAATAAATCCAAACAGTAATCGATACAAATAAAAATATTTAATTTTTCCGTACATTCATAAGGGGCTGCCTAAAAATGTACCGAAAAGGGCAGCTATATCTAGTGTTGCTATGATTGCAGCGGAACCTCAGAAACTTAGCTTCAGAAATTTAGAACTTGAACTCTTGAACACAATTCACAAACGCGATCGCATCGTCTATGATAGTGTAATCTGGAGATATTTATGGGGCCCAATAACTCATGAACTGTCCATTTATTAAATATATATTAAATATTCATTGCGTCCAAGTAAAAAAGTTTCTATAATCTAATTTATTGGAAGTGAACTATTATGGAGAAACAAACTCTTATGGAGAGCCATTTGTCTACGAAATCACCACAGCAGTTTCTCGTCGGATCTTCTTAGCGTTTTGCTATACCGATCCGGTAGTAGATTCATTCGCCAAGCAGCTGCTTTTGAGTTGTTGGCAAATCCCACCCCTACTGGCTGAGCCTTTGCTCGCCCACCTGTCCTGGTGAAATTTGAAAGGCCTCCGGGCCACCAGTAACAAGCATAACAAAATATATCGTAATTTTCCTTAATAGAAACTTATTGAGAAATAAGGTCTTATTTTCTCTTAGAATTCAAAAACAAACAACTGTCAATTATTGTTTTCGTCATTATAGTTTTTGCGGATTTTTCCCCTTTTTTTTCTAATGTTATAATAACGTTAATATATATTGTTTATTTTTTCAATTATTTAACGTGGTATGGGTCGAGATGAAGATAACTTGAATGCGTCGATAGCTCACGTTGTGTTATGTTGTGTCGCCGGCCGGGGAATCAGTCGCATGCACGGCAGAAGTTACACACATCCCGGGATGCATGCGAATTTCTTCGTTCACGGAATACTCGGGTTTCTGCATTACCAAAGCAAGTTCACTTGAGTATATTTAATGCCAATCGAGTAATTCTATTAGGCTTTAGTCATTTATAATTTTTTATTGCTTATTCGGTGGACGAACTCACGACCTGGTGTTAAGTGGTTACTGGAGCCCATAGACATCTACAACGTACATGCGCCACCCATCTTGAGATATAAGTTGTATATTGTTATTATTATTATATACTAGCTGACTCGGTAGACTTCGTAGTGCCTCAATCGATAAATAAAATACCTAAGCTTTTGTATAAAATTAATTTAAAACAAATAAAAGGAATCCGTCCGACGGGAGACACATCAAAGGAAAAACAAAATTGTTATTTTTATTTCATTCCGAGGATTTTCATATTTATCTACCTTTTAAACCTTCTCTGGACTTCCACAAGTAATTCAAGACCAAAATTAGCCAAATCGGTCCAGCCGTACTCGAGTTTTAGCGAGAATAACGAACAGCAATTCATTTTTATATACTTAGTCTGGCCATAAATACTGTTACAGTTAAAAATAAAAAAAATCTATTGAAAATAACATTTATTACTTTTACAGTGTGTTAGTTTACTACATAAATATAAAACAATTTCAAGTATAAAAAGCTTATTCGAAGTGGTCTCCATTGGCTGCAATACAGTCCTTTAAACGTTGAGGCCAGTTATCAATAGAAGCACGCACTCTTTCCATGGGAAAAATTTTCACTGCCAATCGTACGGATTGTTTTAGGGACTCCAAATTATCATGGCGTTTAGAGCAAGCCGTACTCTCTAAAACTGACCATAAATCATAACCCAGCNAAAGTATAAAAAGCTTATTCGAAGTGGTCTCCATTGGCTGCAATACAGTCCTTTAAACGTTGAGGCCAGTTATCAATAGAAGCACGCACTCTTTCCATGGGAAAAATTTTCACTGCCAATCGTACGGATTGTTTTAGGGACTCCAAATTATCATGGCGTTTAGAGCAAGCCGTACTCTCTAAAACTGACCATAAATCATAACCCAGCGGATTTAGATCGGGACTAGACGACGGCCAGTCTTCAGCTTTGATGAAACGTTCGTTTCCAACAAAGACTGCGTAGACCGAGCTTTATGACCTGGCGCCGAGTCTTGCTGGAAGGACCATTCTTGATTATTGAACATGGTGTTGTTAAGGGGCTTCACTACCTTCTTAAGAATGGTATCTTGATACACTTGTGCCGATGTTTTGATACCTTTTTCACAAAAGTATGGCTCAGTCACTCCTTCATAGCTAATACCCCACCAAACCATCACTGAAGTCGGATAGTGCCCACGTTGCACTCTGTCGACTAATTGGGAAGCTTCCTTAGAGCTTTGAGCATAAGTACGGTTATTTTGTTTGGTAAAATGTTGCTCAATTGTAAAAAAATTTTCATCCGTAAACAAAATTTTTCTATGACCTCCCTTTGCGTACCGCTTCAGTAGTTGTTTCGATTTTACCACCCTATTCTCTTTTAAATTATCAGTTAAGAAATGACCAGTACGCCTCTTATAGGCTGCAAGTCCTAAGACATCTTTTAAAATACGCGACATGGTTCTAGGTGCTATCTTCATCTCCCGAGATAAAATCTTTTGCTTTCGGACAGGATTTCTTCGAATTCTTTCCCTTACTGCTTTGACCACCTTTTTCGTACGAGCACTACGTGGACGGCCAGATCTTTTTCTGTCACAAACAGAGGAGGTCTCATTGCACCTATTAATAGCCCGGTACACAAACATTTTACTAATACAAAGCGAGAGTTTTAAAAATTGCATTTAGCTCCATACTTACTTTGTGTAATGCAATCACAGCGATTCGGTTCTCTATATCACCCCACTCCATTTTAATATCGCAAAATATTGTACAATGTATTGGCGCCAACATGAGAAAACTCAATGAGCAATCATTTAAAAATGACAGATTCCAAATTCAAATGTAATATTTTGTTTCTTTTTAATTGTAACTGTATTTATGGCCAGACTAAGTATATATATTATAGATAGAAGATAGATAGATAAGTAGTAATGAAAATTTGCTATTTCATTTTGTTGCAGGCGGCAGATTCAACAACGACTTCAACGATGCGTACACAATAAGTTATAAAGCATCAAGGTATTTAGCTTTGCCGTGTTTGATGGCCGACTTGTACCGCGGTAACCAGGCTTTGAGCGCGATTCACCTAGTATCCGGTATTGTTCCATTTGCTTTGGCACTTGCCGGTGACGACAACGCACATCTCGGTAATCTGGTTATAGCTTGTAATATAATATCTTTGGGGTATTATTCGATTCAGTATAACAGGGAGTGGGGCTGGTACACAGCTGGGGCTGGATTGTTGGCGTATTTCGTGGCTCCCCCCTCGGGCTTGCGGGTGATGTATCCTTTGAGTTTGGCGCTGATGGAATATTGTGCATATAGACTGTTTCACATTCACATAGACGAATCTCAGTAGTAATAAATTATTATCAATCCGAATTGCTGTTTATTTTGGCTATGAAATGTGGCGTTTGAAGGAATGCAGCGTTAATTTTAATTGTTTTGTTGCCCGTACTTCTTTCTGTCAAGATTATCGACGAAATTTAAAATTATATTTGAAGAAAATATGGATAGAAACCTGTTGGATGCTAAAACTCCCAAATCGATCTTGAGCTTGTATTTTCTCTATACAGGTTTTTCTTAATTTTTATGTTGCGAACAAGTTACTTTGACACGGCGATTAATTAGAGTGTAATGGTGTAGGTAAACATAAATAAAAATTTCAACATTGCTCATTAAAATTTAATAGGCGTTAACAAAACCGCGTTTATTATTTTATGCTTTTATTTCTTTTTAATACATTAAAACTTACGAACCCGACCTAAATTGTTTGTTGAGAAATTTCATTTCTTAACAATAACGTTATTTGATAATTCTGTAAATGTTTGGGGAGTGAGTGACCCATTACACTCACAAAGTTGTTTTTTTCCTTATATAAATAAATATAGCTTGTTGTTGAGTTGATTTACTGTGTGAAAACTTTGAATAAAGAGCGCTGGGAGACAATCTCGCCTAACCTTGCCTAAGGGTTTGGGCCACCGGGGTCGTATCCGTGACCTGGCCCCCTAAGAGCTAGGGGTCCCACCCGTTTTGTGCGGGGAGGGACCCAGACGAGGGGTGGCGTGCTCTGCACGCTCACCCACAATAGGAAGCCGGGTGATGGTAGACCGCGTTCCCCCGACCGCTCTGGGGGAAGGTGTAACGCGGCGCCATCAAAGCGGGCTCTCGGCCCGCTGAACGAGGGAACCGGTGGTCGTTTCGCTGGCGGCCACCGGTCCGGCGTCCGTGGGACGGTGGGATGGATGTAATGTGCTCTGCGTCAACCCTGTCCCGCCGTTTCAATAGCCCCGACTGGGCTCCGGCCCGGTCCGAGGTAGGGCGCCGGTTGTGAGCGGCAGGAGTTTTTAGTGAGGTTCAACTCCCACATACCCCACCTGCCGCGCGGGTGGGGATCCGGCGATNAAAAAAAAAAAAAAAAAGGGTTTGGGCCGACGCTGTAAATAAGTATTTACGTCATAACTTTCAATGTCTTCAATGGTTTGATTTTAATGGCGACGAATGCTTACGGTCTTGAATAATATGTAAGGTTCGAAATATTAAAAATAATCGTATATGTTAAGTTCGCGTACGCTTCGTGAAATGCGTAAATATTTAAATTACAGATTATATTTAATACATAATTACAGTAAATTTTCATTGAAGCGATCATCGTACAGACGAATAACGTTAGACAATTTTAATACCTGACCTATTTTTTTTACCAAATTACAAAAATGAATACATAGATACATACACACAAATACATACAAAATACATAGTTAAGAAATAGATATCAAATAAAATAAATTATATAAATCACAACATACAATACAAAACAATCAAGCAATCTGTGCTTTGAAAAATGTAGAAAAATATGTATATGTGGAACGTTTTTTATTTATTTGTTTATAAAACTGTAACCGGGACTAATGAAATTCACATTCCCATCAGCATGAGAGTCTCAGCAATATAAAGACAATAAGGTTTGAGTGATTCGTCTCGCTGTGTGGAGGCAAAGACTCGCTGCGGGCGGCCGCGACTGGGTACCCAGAGTGCATTAACTTAACTTCATTGTAAGAGAAATGTACTGATATCTATATAATATTAATACGTGAAGCAAAAACTTTGTAGCCCTTTCTACGAAAATTGCGCCGACGGAGGAGTACGAAATTTCCCACACTCACAGAGAATATAGAGGAGTGCAGAATGGTAATATTTGTAGGCAGCGGCTTGGCTCTGCCCCTGGCATTGCTGAAGTCCATGGGCGACGGTAACCACTCACCATCAGGTGGGCCGTATGCTCGTCTGCCTACAAGGGCAATATAAAAAAAATATATGTATTTGCATCTGTGAAATAAATAGATTTAGCACCGCATTTTCATGAATCCATAAGTATATAACTAGTCAGGTCATAAGTATTGTCACACAGTAAAAACTTTTCTTTTAGAATGCTGGCCACAAAAAAGTTTATTGAATTCGAATTTCGAATTGTTCATGAAAATAAAAATGTATACTTTTAGAATTTTACTCAGTTTTTAAATATGGAGTGGACGCTTAAAGAAGACCGTGTTGCAGTTATTGTGTTGCATCGTTGCGGTTACGCGCCAATACAAAATTTTTAACATACTGAAAAATTTGAATATAACCAAAAGATTCGTTTAGCGTACCATCAAACGATACAATGAAGACTCTAGTGTAGATGACAGGTCAAGAAGTGGTCGCCCTCGGTCTGTTAGGACTCCAGCAGTGATAAAAGCTGTGAAGGCGCGAATTCAAAGAAATCCCAAACGTAAGCAGAAACTGTTGGCCCTTCAGATGGGGTTAAGCAGAACCACGGTGAAAAGGGTGTTAAATGAAGACTTAGGGCTTCGGGCATATCGAAGAAAAACAGGACATCGTTTGAATGCTCGTCTAATGGACCTGAGACTGAAGAGATGCCGCGCTTTGTTGAAGCGGTACGCGGGAAAAAAATATCGGGAAATTCTTTTTTCGGATGAAAAAATTTTTACCGTAGAAGAGAGCTACAACAAACAAAATGATAAGGTGTACGCACACAGTAGTGAAGAAGCGAGCAACCGTATTCCGCGTGTCCAACGAGGTCATTTTCCATCCTCGCTCATGGTATGGTTGGGAGTTTCTTATTGGGGCTTAACAGAGGTACATTTTTGTGAGAAAGGTGTAAAAACGAATGCAGTTGTGTATCAAAATACAGTCCTGACGAACCTTGTGGAACCTGTTTCTCATACCATGTTCAATAACAGGCACTGGGTATTCCAACAAGATTCGGCGCCAGCTCATAGAGCGAAGAGCACACAAGACTGGCTGGCGGCGCGTGAAATCGACTTCATCCGGCACGAAGACTGGCCCTCCTCCAGTCCAGATTTGAATCCGTTAGATTACAAGATATGGCAACACTTGGAGGAAAAGGCGTGCTCAAAGCCTCATCCCAATTTGGAGTCACTCAAGACATCCTTGATTAAGGCAGCCGCCGATATTGACATGGACCTCGTTCGTGCTGCGATAGACGACTGGCCGCGCAGATTGAAGGCCTGTATTCAAAATCACGGAGGTCATTTTGAATAAACTTTAGTGTCATAAGAATCTATGTTTTGTTAAGTTCATTTTGGTATATGAATGGTTACATAATAAATAAACTTGTTTCAATTATTTTACATTAAACATGTGACAGAATTTATGACCTGACTAGGTATATATAGCAAGCAACACGCGGCCCGCCAAGCATTTCTAAGATTGAATTTATTTTATCGACTTTCTCGTTTCTGTTCTTTTCTTGCATTTTTTTTTTAAAACAATCACGTCACTTTAACTGGTCCCGTGATAAGTTCGTAAAGAGCTTGTGTTACAGGTGCCAGATAACGGATATAAATGTAAGATTTTGATTATACACATACATATATTTAATAGACATCCATAACCCTGGAAAAGACATTTATATTTATCATACAAATATCTTCCCTTGGCGGGATTCGAACCCGCGACCCCCTTGTGTAGTGACCATGTCACTTACCACTACACCAGACGGCCGTTGTTTGTATACGGAATCTTTACTTTTTTTTAGTTTTATATATTTTTTTCTAATTTTTATCATAAATAAAGTTTCGTAAATTATTGATAAGAGTCAATAAATGTGCGGAACGCAAAAAAATTTTATTAAAAATAGCCCATTGATTAAAAAGGTTGCCCACTCCTAGTCTAAAGATTAGATACATTCGGAGTTTAAAAATTTAGCCCATGATCTTTTACGACGAAGATGTAGGTACATGTTTTATGTGATCAGTTGCTATGTTGTCTCCTTGCAGACGAGATTGTACTCACGAGAATATCAATATCGAACATCTGGCGCGTTTTCCGAGACGCCATTAGTCTGTAATCGATATCCACCGCTAATACTAAGTAGGCTATGTTTTAATATCACTTTAGATGGACAGGATATACGCTGTTAATTTAATACTAGGTTTTTTTGTTATTATTCTAGTCTTTATAAGTTTTTTTATTTTTTTTATTGCTTAGATTGCTGGATGAGGTCACAGCCCACCTGGTGTTAATTGGTTACTGAAGCCCATAGACGTCTACAACGTAAATGCACCACCCATCTTTGAGATATAAGTTCTAAGCTCTCAAGTATAGTTAAAACGGCTGCCCCACCCTTCAAACCGAAACGCATTACTGCTTCACGGCAGAAATAAGCAGGGCGGTGGTACCTACCCGCGCGGACTCACAAGAGGTACTACCAGCAGTAAAACAAGATTTTGCTTTGACTTTTCAATTTACCTTAATGTTCATAGAAGAGCAATTGTAATAATGTAAAACATATTTTAATTGTCTCTAGATTGGATTTTGTATGTTCAGACGAAAACAAATATAGATAGTTAAACAAGGGTGCATTGAGACTTACTGGCGGTAGGACCTCTTGGGAGTCCGCACGGGTAGGTACCGCCACCCTGCCTATTTTCGCCGTGAAGCAGTAATGCGTTTCGGTTCGAAGGGTGGGGTAGCCGTTGTAACTATACTTGAGGCCTTAGAACTTGTATCTCGAGGTGGGTGGCGCATTTACGTTGTAGATGTCTATGGGCTCCAGTAACCACTTAACACCAGGTGGGCTGTGAGCTCGTCCATCCATCTAAGAAACAAAAAAAAAAGACTGCCATAACTATCCAACGAGGCTGTGGAAGCAGCGGTTTTAATAAGTTTTTGTTGTACCATAAACGAATAGTTTTGGGATTCAGGGTTAAATCTTAGACCGCAGCTTATACTTGTAACAATACTTGAGACCTTACAACTTATATCTCAAGGTGGGTGGCGCATTTACGTTGTAGATATCTATGGGCTCTAGTAACCACTTAAAACCAGGTGGGC